TTTGAAAAAAAAAAAAAATAAATAATCAATTTCAACTCAAATGCAACTCAATTTTAACTCAATTTTATTATTCTCAATATTATTAATACAAGTAAATAATAAAAATCAAGTATCCTTACGCATCACGTAAATTTTTAATTAACAATTTATTCACTCATATAATTCCAGCTATATTTATACTTCCAACTACATCTCACGTACTTTTACATAAAATATAATTTAATTATTTTATTTTAAATATTATTATGATACAAGCTCAAAATCTCACTCAAACCTAATTTAATCATTTTTCTCCTATAAAAGAAAAAACCAACAATCAAGACTCAATAAATCTATAAACAAGCGAACACTTGATAATTAAATTGACTCGCAAAAGTGCTGCCATATGCAAAACCCAAACCCGACCCGTCATATTTTATGCTAAAATAATAAGAAGAATAAGAGTATTTTTATCAGTTAAAATCACATAAAACCTTCTTTTTATGATCTCACATGTTTCTCACCTAATATTATACTCTTATATGTTTCCCACGAAAAAAAATGGTATTTTTCAACTTTGAATTACAATTTTATGACTGATTTGAATCTTTTTATGTTACACGATTGAAATTGTGCATTAAATTATAAAAAAAAAAAGGCCAAAAGTTGTAAAGGTTACCATCATTACTCCATTTTCATTAATTTATAAATCCACAAATGACAAGATAAGGTTTCTCCAAGACTATCCGAAATTATTGGGATAACATTGAAATTTATGAAAAGGGTATCTCAACTTAGGAAAATCAGCTCAAAACCTTTTTTTTTAAAAAAAAAAAAATGTTAAACGAAACGAGCAACTTTTGAGCCAAGCGTGTTTCTTTGAAGCTCATTAAAGGGGAAAAACATTAATTTTATAGAAGTTTCTATAATTCGACTTATTAATAATGAAATCGAGCTCGAACTTGTTATATCATGACCTCACTCATTGTGTTAACGATAATTGGCATGCATGAACACCACAAAATCTGATAGGTGCAATGTAAACCTTTAATTAATAAGTATTTAACAGATAAACTGATAAATCATTTATTAATCACCATCTAGGAACTGTAACTCAAAGTACAATTTTAATAGTAATTAATTCTATATATTTTTGCAGCAAGCAATAGTCATTTTCGATAATAATTTTTTTCTTTGGGTTAACAAAACTTTTTGGTTTGATTCTGTAACTAAGCTTCGGATAGGTCCAGGGCCCATCTGGGCCCATCTAGCTAAATAGTCCAGGTTTTCAGAAGCCCGATGAGCTTGCTCGCTCAGGCTTACTCTTATTTATTAATCTCTGCCACTGCATAAATAGCTGTACCCTGAGCTTAACACACTGTTTGGCATTACCTTTTTCTACTTCGTTTCATAACTTTCATTCACTGTACCAATTTGTCTCATTCGACAACTCTTTTACACCACGCTTCAAATTCCAAACACGCCATAACTCCTCCTTCCAAAAATTTACCCCTTTCTCTCTCTCATGGAAGCTTTAGGAATTCTCAGGTTCTGGAGAAACGCCGGCGCCGGCGCAAGCGCCGTCTCCATCCCCGGCGTGTATCTCGCGCGGAATCCTGTTTCCGGCACCGACGAAGAAGAAACGGACGACGATGATTCGTTCTTTGATCTGGTTATCAGGTCGCCGGAATATGAAATTGTTGCCAAAAATCGCAACGAAGGTTTGAAGGATATTTTAATGAGAAAAAACGATTATTCGAGCTCCAAGCCTCGATCACCGGTCAGCATCCTCCGGCGGGGCCCCAAATTCAAGGTTTTCATTCAAGGATTCAGAAAACAGCGGAGGCGCGAGAAAAATGGTCCGATCGCGGTTGAGTCGAAGGCCAACCAGGTGAATCGGCTCAGGGGATCGTCGAAGCTTGAGCAAAGCAACCGATCCGCGGCGAAAACCGGATCGGAAGCGTCGTTCGGTCCGGTTTTCCCCAGGGATAACAGTTTGCGAACTAAAATGCTGAAAGAGAGCTGCGAATGCGGCGCGTCTTCCGACGTCCTCGCCGTTGGGGAGAAATCGGTGCCGAGGTACATGAAGCTGATCAAGCCTTTCTACGCGAAGGCTGCGAGCAAGGCGAGGTCGTCAGAATTTTCTACGCCGTCGTCTTCTCCGTTGACGGCGCCGGCGAATCTGTCGCCGAGGAAGTTCTGCGAGGTTAGTAGGGTGGGGAGCTTCAAGGTCATCACGAGGGGATTGGGGAAGAGCCGGACAGCGTCAGCGGCGGGCCGTGGGAAGAGCCGACCAGCTTCGGCGGCGGACGGCCCGCCGCCGCTCTGTCGGAGGGACGACCTCCTGATGGAGCAGCACGATGGAATCCAAGGCGCCATTCTTCACTGCAAAAAGTCCTTTAATAATTCTTCATACCAAGGTATTATTATTAACTTTATTTTTGCTTTGTGAAGATGAATCATAAGAGTTTTCCATATTCGTTTTTTATTTCATATAATATAATGGTAAATTAATATAATAAAATAATAAATTCATATCTTTGCTTAAAATTTCAGAAATATCGCAATTATCTCGTGCGGCGAGCGACAACTCGCGCGAGAAAATGAGGAGAAATACGTTCGATGAGCAAAAACGTTGCAGCATTTGAATCGCAACGGAAATGGCGGGAATATCCATAATGCTGATGGTCAACATGACGTCATGTTTTCAGGGTTATGAAGATAATTTATATTAAAAGGATTTTTGTACAGATGGGTGCAGTAAAAAAATTTCTGAAAACAGGCTAAGGAGCAGCAGTCTGAATTCCCTCCCAATGGGTAGAAGGTAGTTTTTCTTTTTACTCTCTGTAAAAAGTAACTGTTGGGTTTGAACTTTGAAATGGAAGTAGTGTGTTGTCTCTGCCAAACTTCGAGAGTGGGCAAAAAGGAGTAATTAGAACAAGAAAAAATTGTGGGTTGAAATGATTATAATAATCAATTATGAGTTGTTTGAAATGTATGAATTTTTGGATTGTACCACGTCGAATCAAAACCACGATGATTTCTTATTGTGTATTATGAAAGAAATTTTGTTGCTTAAAGCTAAAGGAAGATGCTACGGTCCCGTTATGGAATTATTCCGTTGGGATTTGTAACCGTTAGATTATTTATCTCCGACGATTAGTTGATGATCTAACGGTTACAAATCCCGTCGAATGGTTCTAGAATTAGACCATAGCATTTCCCAAAGTTAAAAGTGTGAGTAATTACGCGACTTTGGTCGTGTATAAGTATTTTGGAAGCATATATGACGTAGGGTCGAGTTTTCATAAAGCCCATATGTTATTCGTCTGTCTTTTCACTTTTGCCACACGGACCAGGCCGAAGTTTAATATTAATAGCCCAATATCCGCAATGAATAGATGTATTTTGATTTTGAAGATGATATAAATGTATCGTGTTCATGAATTATTTAAACATTGACTCCGTAAATTAATTTATGTCATTTTCAAACTTTTGCATTCCATTAAACATATACTATTTTGTGTTATTTTATAATTTATAATTAACTTATAATCAATTGATTTATAATTGATTGGTGGTAATTTAGGCATAATTATAGATGTATTTAGTTATCTCATAATAATTATAAAATGCTATATTCATTTCCAAAAAACTTTGAATTTTAATGAAATATATATATATATATATATATATATATATATATATATATTATGGCTTTGCGGACCGGTGACGGCCAGAATTGGCCAAGCGGAGAGCCCGAGAAGAGAGAAACTTTTTACACATCGCCAATGTGTGCATGCCATATAAGCGTTAGACATATTAACATGTGTCCACCGTGGGTAGATGAACAACATTGGTGATGTATTTTTTTGAACATATTAACATTATCAATGTGTGCATGCCACATAAGCGGTGACATATTAACATGTGTCCACCGTGGGTAGGAGAACATTATCCTTCTACATTATTGAATATTGCTCACCTATCCACGGTGGACACATGTTAATATGTCCAACGTTTATGTGGCATGCAAATATTGGTGATGTATTTTTTTGAACATATTAACATCACTAATGTGTGCATGCCACATAAACGGTGGACATATTAACATGTGTCCACCGTGGGTAGGAGAACATTATCCCTTTGACATTTATGTTATATTTATATTGTTCATATTTGCTATTTTAAAAAATTTTAAAATGAGATATACTCATTATCTAACTTATAAGTATCAGTGGTGTAAAAGTCGCTGGACACCCGCTAGGCGCTCGACCAGCGCCTAGCGCCTAGAGCGCCTAGGCAGGGCCTGGGCGGTGCTTAGTCAATGCCTAGAAATCAATATTAAATATCTTATTTTTTCTTATTTTAACTACCTACAAAATAAAATTATTTCAACTTATAATAAATCGACACACCTAAGCCCAAATAATAAAATTAATATATTTTAAAGAAAACATGAGAACAAAATAATGTAATTAGTATTTAGAAAATTAAAAAAAAAATATGAAAAATTACCGTCGAGCCCGTCTAGGAGCGCCTAGGTCCGCCTATGCCCGCCTATGCGTCGCCTAGCCGCCTGGCCGCCGAGCCCGCCAAGTCCGCCTAGGAGCACCTAGGGCCGCCTAGGCGCCTGACCGATTTTTTCTGCCGATTTGTGCAAACCGGATGCGCCCAGACACCGCCTAGGCCGATTTTTAGAACAATGATAATTATGTATAATATTTTATTTGCACACCTGCATGTGCACAGGATCTATTACAAGTAAATAAATAATATTTGATAAAAATTAATACCCCTATTTACAAACTTTTTTATATTTAGTAATATATGTTTCCACAGTTAGGGTGAATAATGCAATCTTAATTTGCGCATTCCGGGACCCATTATTCCGTCCGAACAGCCTTGATTTATGTCTAAATTACAACTTATAGGCATGTATTAGGGCTATAATTTTATTAATAAAAAATTAATCAATAAAAATATACTGGGGTTGAACTAATCACGTTGAACTTGTATGTAAACCGGCCATTACGTGATCGTTAATTAAGAATCAGTCCCACATTCTTGTCAAATAGTCTTACATTATTACTTACAAAAAGCAAGAAAAAATATCACTTTCATGTTTGACTCCATAATGTTAGAATCCGTCCAAAAATGTGCCTTTTGGTCGAAAATTGTTGTTATAGATAGAAAATGCTACGGTCCCGTTACGGAAGCATTCCATTGGAATTGAAAGTTATTAACACATTCCATATTTATATTTTCTCGATGTTGCGTCTTCTATTTTGTGACTAATATATATATATATATATATATATATAATTATTAGCTAATAGCATTTAATAAAACCTATTTAATTTTACTTATGTGCCAATTTAATCATTTCCATCAAAACACCGTTACTTTTGAAATGTATTTAATCTTTCATTTAATTATTAAATAATCAATACTAATCACTTCAAAATTACAAAAATTTGATTACTAACAGTTGATCATATTATGTATTGACCACATAATGTGATTAGATATTATTATTGTGGTTACATTTAAATTTATTTTATTTTTTAAAATAAAAAACATATTGAAAATTCCTAAATGAATAATTCACAAAAAAAGACATACCAAAATACATTACATCCAATAAGATAAACGCAATTAAAAAAAAAATCCAACTCCTTTAATTGTAAATTTGACCTGAAAAAAGTGAAAGAAAAATAATTAATCATTATAAGCATACAAATAACTCACAGTATTTTATTTACAATTCATCCGTGATGATAATGATCATAATTAAAAAATTTAGTGTGATTTTATTTTGCCTCCTTATCGCAGGCGATTTCCTCTCAAACCCTACACCCTCAGCTTCTCCTTAATCGGTCGTTCTTGACCTCCTCCGG